CCGGCGGGGTGGGGAGTAGGGCCTGGGCCTGCCGCCATGCTGTGGGCTGGGGCGTGAGGCGAATGCTGGAGCCCCAGGGGTTTGTCAGCCCGTTGTGGTGGTCGGTGGTTTCTGTTTCTCTCTCTCTCTCTCTCTCTCTTTTTTTTTTTTTAATAGCATGGAGAATTTTTCCTTATTTCTGACGCAGGGTTTGGGTTTTTTTTTCCTGTCAGGTAGGGCTTTTAGTGGAAGCCGTGGTCTGTCGGGATGAGTTTTCTGCTGCCCAAACTGACCTGTAAGAGGGAAGTGGATCAGGCAATAAAAAGCGTGGCCGAGAAGGTTTTGGTTCTCCGGTTTGGAAGAGATAACGATGCTGTTTGTCTGCAGCTTGATGATATTGTAAGAGCAAGTTTGGTTTTGTTTTTAGTGAATTCTACTAGTATACCTGTTGCATACAAGAGAATGTCATATGTTGGTTTTGGCTAATGTGGTGACTCATGAAAATTTTGGTGACAAATATGAAATAATACTGTATTCATAAAACGGTTTGAAAATTAAGCAAATGTTTATGTTATTGCAGTGGGTGTACAAAGTGCTTGAAGTAGATAAGACATTATATTGTAGCCTTGATTAAACTGATAAGACATAAGAGAAATGGGCTTTATAAAGCTTGCCACCCTTTTTTCTCTTGTCTTTCAATCCATTTGTCATCCACCTTTCTTACTCTTTTCAGCTTGCAAAGACAGCTCATGACCTGAGTAAAATGGCAGTCATTTACCTGGTGGATGTGAACACGGTGCCAGTGTACACCCAGTATTTTGACATCAGTTATATTCCATCTACTGTATTTTTCTTCAATGGACAACACATGAAGGTTGATTACGGGTATGTCATCCTACCTGGCATTATCTATTATTATATCTGTACGAATTGTCAGTCTTTCTCTATGTTGCCATGTCTGGGGAAGGTAACGTTTGAAAACTATAATGTTGTTGCCAGCATCTGCATTGAGAGCTCTATAGGAAGCCAGAAGGATGTAAAATTAAGAAGTATTTTGAAATATGCTCTGATGCCATAAGTGTCAGCTGTGAAACATGCCTGACTCCAAAAATAGTATGGTCTTGGACACAGCACTGCACCTTTTTGGACTTTAGAGGTCACAGTATATTCCTGACTTAGTTATGCCATTACCTAATCCCTAATGTCATTATACATCTTTTCTTGTCTTTAGGTGTTTTTGCTTTGAACACTTTAAAATTACAATTCTATATTTATCTTATGTTTATATTTAGGTCTCCAGATCATACCAAATTTGTAGGAAGCTTCAAAACAAAGCAAGACTTTATAGATCTGATTGAAGTGATTTACCGTGGAGCAATGCGTGGAAAACTCATTGTGAGAAGTCCTATTGATCCCAATAACATTCCTAAATATGACCTTCTCTACCAAGGAATTTAATGGGTTGACCTGAGAAAGAATTACGGAAATGGCCGATGTTCTAGATCCCTTTTTTTATTCAAGCATTTTTAGCCGCCTCTGACACCGTGGGACAGTTTGAGCATTTTATGTTGAAGGATCATATTGGTCTCCTGAAGGCAGACATTCTGTCACCTCATACTTCTCTCATAAGGCTACATGTTCAAGCGTAGAATTCATGCAAGTGACTATTCATTGAGTCGCATGCTGACCGGTATGTACAAAACAGGCAGGTTGCATGCATCCTCAATGACGGCATCTCCAGTGCAACTTTCTTAAGCGAACAAAGGCACCATGTAGTCTATTATTTGTCTGTTTAATACCATTTGCATTCAGATGTAATAACAGTAAACCTATCTCTATTTAAAAAGCTATGCTTGCTCTCAAAAGCATTCAACTGACTGTGCCTTTCCAACAGAATTTTACGCTTTTACCCATTATTGGATAATGGGATGGAAACTTTTTCAAACAGTATTAGAGAACACTGAAATACAAAATGGATATAAACACAAAAGGGAAGTTGACACTCCCTTTTCTCTGGTAGCCAGTATTACTCTTCAACATTTTTTTTGACTGAGATGGAAACCTGAAAGCGTAGGACAAGATTTTGTCATCCTTCAAAGCTCTTTTGCAGCTACTGAGCACTTTTAATTCCCACAGGATTAAACTGGAAATTCAGAATAACCATTTTGTTTACATTCGCTTTAAAGGTTATTTGACCTTTTGCTTCTATAAATTGCAAACCTTGAGTATAGACATTTAAAAACTCTCTATTTCCCACCTCTGTATAAAATTAAACAGCTGAGGGAAAACAGCAATGTCGTTCCTTTGCAACAGTTTGGTAATTGCAGGTTGCTAAAGTATTGTATTTCTATAGCAGCTCATGCCCAGTAATCTCACTGGCTTAGCTTTAAAATGGAAATTACTTTAGCTCACTGTATCATATTTGAGGAATACCATCTCTGCCTGGAGGGAAGGTAGTAGCATGTAGTTCCCTGAAGTATCGTTCAGCTTAACAGTAATTTCAAGGAGGAAGGGGGATGTTCCAGTTTTTGAAAGATTTTAAACACTCTATGGTATATGGCAAGGAGGAAATAGATCCTTCACATGCTTTTTTGTATTCTAGATTTGTCCTTTTAAATGAAAGCTATGCACTCAGGCAAGTGTTTTCCTGATAGTTTAGTCTGATTATAGAGCCGTAACTGCAGAATGTTTATTTTAAAAAAAAATGGTACAGATGAGAGTTGGTATGCCTCAACATCTTTATTTTGTGCAATTTTAAATTTCACAGCTAGCTGAAGGGTTGTGGCTTAAAGCTTTCAACAACGCATTTCTTTCCTAATAGTTAACTTGCATTTGTGTGTTTCTCAAAACCAAACAAACTAGCTTCAAAGTGACGTGCGGAAAACAGACTCCACAATCTGTAAGATTGTACAGTAGGTATGTTTATTCGGCGCCGGGCAGCACAGGGGGTAGTCCCACCAAAGTCGTGCGCGCCGCACCTGGCGACCTGCTTCAAACTTATACAGGTCAGTGTTGCATATACATGAGGTTTCCCAACACGCCTATACATAGGGATGAGCTATCCCCGCTTCGTATTGAAATTAGTTCCAAGAGGTCATTTCCATAGACTCCTCCCGATTGCGCTTGCGCAGTGCCTCCTCGTGGTGGTCGTCGGGCGTCGTGGAGATGAAGGCTGATGGCTCCTCTTCATCACCGCTAGTAATCTCTTGCTCTTGCGCAAACTCAGTTGCTCCCTGGCTCTTGCTTCAGGATAGGTTTTAACAGTTTCTTAAGGCAAGTTTCCGATCTTTATCGGGGGCTGTCCTTTGGGAGGAGCTGCAAAACTTCCTGCCTCACTTAATTTACAGAAGAGTTAACAAATCATTAAGCCGCACCTTTGAGTCACACCTGCTAATTCAATTCCTAGGGCCATACAACATCTTATCTGTTAAGATTCCCTTAACTCCTTCTCTCAAAACTTAGAACTTACAGTTGCTCCACAGTGAGATGAAGGTCCTTAGATGACTGAACGGTGCAGGGACAGTTATGAAAGGAGGAGACCACTATCAGGAACAAATCGGTATACCTTTATTTATTGCCTCTCTTCTCACTTGTGCTGCTTCTAGTTGCAACAGGTGAATGCCTAAAGGCTGTTCTGGTCTTGGCTTTCAGCATGCCTTTTAGGTACTTAAAGATGGCATGTAAGCAGCAGGAGGGTGCTAAACCATATTTTTTAGTTCCAGCAGAGACAGTACTACAATTCACTTTCATGCGAGAACACACAGCTTTATCTAGAGGTTTGCTGTTTGACACCCATTCACGGGAGTATTTCCGTATCCATTCCTGTATTTGTGGGTCACTTCTAGTCTGATGCCGTGTGTTGTGCATGGAGTCGATGAATGCCACAGAGTACACTTTGTTCATTACCTCCCATTTTCTCTGCACGAGCAGATCAACAAACACCAAGCCACCATAGCCGTGGGCAATGAAGGCCACGTTCTTGGCTGCGCTCTTTGAAATGAAATGGTCCCATACATACATGGTATGCTCCTCGGGGCTGCTGCTGCCCCTCTTGGGGATCCAACAGACGGACCGCATAGAAGGCAGTGCTTCCCCGATAGAAGAGCTTAATCTCTCCTCCAGACGGACCGCATAGAAGGCAGTGCTTCTTCCCCGATAGAAGAGCTTAATCTCTCCTTTTCAGTCTTGAGATCAACAAAGTTGTCGTTGGGATTCAGTACAATCACTCCTTCGTACCTTTGAAGGGCCATTTTGATGAACGGTATTTGTGTTCCATGCTCCAGGCCCTTGCTGATGATTGTCCTTTGCCCCCATTGTCCAGCACAGAAAACTCCACGGTCTTGAAGAAGGACAATTAGGCTAGAGGAAGTTGTTAGTGCATTCTTGCTTATGAAAAAGAAACTTCTTGGTTCATCCTCTGTAGCATCAGTAGGAATATAAACTTTCTGCAGCATGCAGACTCTTTCCAGGAGCTCATAAACATATTGGGTAATCAAATGTCCCAGAACTTCATAGCGTTTATGGTTCTGCTCATGTGCATTCTTGTAGTAATTGAAAACAAAAGACTCATTTGTATCCAGATGCCTCAGTTCCCCTTTTATATTGAAGTCATACTTCAGTTCCTCTTGATACTCTGAACCCTCTATTAGTTTCCTCAAGCTTAGTTCATGCTGTATTTGTAACCACTACAAATTAAGACAACTATATCAATGTAGTGCTAGACCTCTGTACAACATCTACATAAAGAAAACCTATTGTATTAGAATTCAGACTTAAAAGTGGTTACAAACAAAATACTTGTTGATACAGACTATCTCTTGGTGGTCTGTAGAAAACCAGCTGCTTGTAAAGCCTCTCACAGATTTCAGTTGCTAAATTCCAACAGTACATTAATACTAATCTCTCCAGTTACCTGTTCATCCTTGCAAGTGCTTGCCACATGGAAATTGTGGAATGGATGACAGAATACGCTAGCCACTGTGATCCAGGAACAGGAGAAAAGAAAGTCCATGCAGCAAACTTTCATGAGATTAGACTGAAGTCTCTAGTTTCAGCTAAGATAATTTTTCAACTCATACGACTGATCAACTGATAAGAATTATACCAGGAAGTGGTTTCCATGCAACTGAAAAATTAAGCTTATCATAATCTTCTATTTTCCTAATAACTCTTCGGTCTACTACTGACTTTCACTGGCTGTAGAATGGTAAACATGGGGTAACCTTTGGTGTGGTTAGAATCCTACTTTATAGGATTTTTGTCCTAACAGCAGAGATTTGCAAGCATTGAATTCCCACAATTGTCAGTATTTTAAAAATGAACATCTCATCTTGACACAGTAATTTTTTTTGGCAAATGATTCATATGAAGTTATATTTGGCAAATACATTGGTACAAGCTACTATATACCTTTAAATTTTTCTTGCTGAACTAACAGAGGTTTTCAGAACACAGTAAATCACATTCTGACTATGTTAAAACTCACTGTACCATCTGATAAAGCTGATTACTAGGACAGAAAACGATCTGAAAATTTTCATGTGAGTAACCTGAGTTGGAGCCCAACTCCTGCATGGAATGCAAGTTCCCTTGAGTAAGCTGCTCAGCATACTGAAAATTATTTCTTACACTTCCAAATTTAAAAAAAAAAAAAAATTCTTTGCCTTTCAACAGAACACCAGCATACACCTTTGCCTTTTGAGCAATCTCCATTGGGTCAGAGTTGTTAAGTCATCTTTTCAGGGTCATTCCTGTCTTCTGATTAATAGAGAGTAGGCTAGGAAATGGTACCTTCTCCTTTATCTCAAATAATAAGTACACATAGAAAAGGGAAAAAAAAGAAAATCAGATTCTATGATAGATAAACCATTTACTGCCTTGCCAGTTTCTGAGAATGGAAACAGCACAAAGAAGTTGCAAGTCCACATGTTCATCTATGATTTTTTTCATTCTGCAGGAAGGCATGAAAGACACAAAGGAGGAAGGAGGACAGTCTATTTGCTATACTACTGATATATGGGCAATTCACACAAAAGACATCATATATAGTAGGCAGGAAGCTACCCATATTCATGTTTTCCTCATGCAATGAAGTGGGAGAAAAATGGACATGGTTAAAGGAAAGATGTCTGTGGAGGAAGGCAAAGCACAGAGGAAGCATTCCATAGCAATTAGGAATAGGTAAATGCAGTTTGCTCACACAGTGGCGTGCTTCTATCGGTGCCTTTCCCTCCTTACCCCTGAAAGGTTGGAGACTAGTTTCCAGCATACTATGAACGGGAAGTTACTATGCTCTTATTTCAGCTGCTAGCAACAACATTGCTTTTTCAGTTCAGAAACAAAACAAGGATACGTGATTCCAAATTAAACCCTGTGTATGTAATATTGAACATCTACTTAAATATCTACTTTACAAAGCATTGTGAAAAGTTTGTGAAGATTTCAGGAGGCAGAAACAAACAAACAAATACAGTTTTACATCAGCCATAGGTATGACTTCCCTTCCTAAAATTGCCCTCAAGGTGCAAACTGAAAAGTTTTAAAGCAATTTACAGTAGGTTATCACTTGAAAGTTCATTTGAATAGCACCTTAGAATCATATACTTATTAGTATTTTATTGTAACAATGCCATTTATAGAATTAAACACAGCAGTTATAGGTTGTTCTAGATATAGCTACATAACGCATTTACTTCTTTTTAGTAAATCTGCATTTTAAATCGGCGTTGACTGCTGCTTGTGCTTCATTGTCTATAGACAAATGCAATATTCAAGGGTGCTTATTCTGTCCAGTCTTTACAAATGCTATTTTGATTTTAAGAAATTACTGATAGGGGAAAAATAATCCCTCTTTCCCTTCCTCTTGCTTTTCTGTTTGAATTGTAAAATGCTTTGGCTGCAAATTCAGCTAGTGTTTGTTACAACAGTTAGCATATTCTAAACACTACTGCAGTGTAACTATTACACTTTATGAGGTTTTCCATTTAAAAACACTTTATTCTAGTAAAGCCCAACATTACCATATGCTCTCCGGTAAAGTCTGTCATCATCATAGATGGAAATCTTCTTCACTCTGGGACTGTAGACAATTCCTCTGCATGAAAGAAAATAAACCCATCTTAGTTCAGGTTTCATTACTTCATGTACTTTATTCTGGGGTGTATCTGTAAAATGCATCAGTTGCTGATAGTTAAGGCTATCTGAAGTGTTTTAGACGACTCCAAGTTACAAGCTAATAGGTCACGTTTGTAATTTACACCTGGCCATAAGTTAAAACTAAACCTCTTGAACATAAAACTAAGAAGTTGTCAAAATTAGCTTTACACAGCTTCCCATTTCCTGAAAGAAAGGCGCTACCAAGAGAACAAAACAGAAAGCTACACACAAAACTTACAATTCTGTAGCTGCACTGAAGAAAACCCCTCACAAAACCCAACAAACAAATCTTTGTCTCCTGCGTCGCTGCGGGAGGGTTCCCAAGGCCATCGGCTGACCACCGAGGG